GAAACCACATAAAGTTAACATACTTATGATTTTGATGTATCTCTATTTTGGTCAAAGTCAAATCAGTCAATGATCTTAGAACATATTTTCTGACCTTTCTCCTCAATTCTTGTTTCTGGTAATGGATATGATCGATAAAGTGGAACTCCTAAGTAAAGAAGCAGAAGCACTTGATAAAGTCGTTGGTTTTCAATCAAAATAGCTTATAGAGAATGTACTTGAATGATCAACATTGTTGACAAATCATCTTCACCAACTCTACCATTTGTGTATTATTCCATTTGTGGAAAAATCCATGTGTATTTTGATAGATCCACCTTCAAAGGACTAAAGTTGCCAGCAATTTAAAGTATTGGGCCAAAAGTGTGAAACACAAAGGTTTACTGTTCCTAAGGTTTTCAATTATAATAACTATTGGCCCAAAATTGTCATAATCAAAAGTTTGTTGTTGCTAACTCCTCCAAAGATTATATATATATATATATATATATATATTATATATATATATATATATATGGAGAGAGAGAGAGAGAGAGAGCTAGGTTCAAATGTGGATTGACATCTATTGTGGGGACAATGCTATTATGTGAGAATGACAAATAAATTATGTTGTTTGATTATGTAAATACGTTCAATCTTACACAACTATTGTCATTATTACACATTCACACTAATTAAATCGTCTATAAGGTTATTACAGATTTTTTTTTATTATTCTCATTCTGTCGGAATGTTTATTGAGTCGTATTCTGTAAGAATGAAAATGTGTGAAAAACGATATGTGAGAACAAAAATGAATACAAATTAATGAGAATGCATGAAAATGACAATAGTTGTCATAGGTTAAACATATTCACATTACTAACCAACCTACTCTCTTAGTAATTCTCATAGAATAGCACTGTCCACACATCCGCACAATAGTTGTCCATCCACATATATATATATATATATATATATATATATATATATATATATATATATATATATATATATATATATAATATTCGAACTCCAATTTGCAGTTGTGGAAGAGCATAAAAAAAATCACAATATGAAGAAAGTAAAACGAAAGTTGAAAATGTGAATCTCTTGTTGTTTTGTTTATGTTTATATGTACTGTGGATCTTAGTGGTTAAATATCATACGCAAAGTTTTATATTCTGAAACAATCGATCAAAGTATCAATTTTGGCACATCTGGTGATGGGGATTTGCTTCACGTTATCATCGATATAGATGTGAAATTAACATAACATCCAAACTTCAATTCATATAAAAATTACGTTGCCAGGATCTTGTACTAAAGCTCAAAAACTAAAACTTTAAAGTACAAACTTTATTAAAATACTGCGGAATTTTTTATCTTGTACTAAAGCTCAAAAACTAAAACTTTAAAGTACACACATTTTTATTAAAATACTGCGGAAGCTTTGTTACAATGGTGGTGGTGGTGATTGTAGGTGAATGGATTCGATGATCCCAAACTTAAAACTTATGCCCTTATATAGATGGACTTACAAACTATTGGACAAGAATAAAAACGTAAGCGATGACGTTTAAACAAGGGCTATTATTTAATTTGTTACATGTGGCCGACAATCTTGATAATTATAAAGATACTTTTAACAAGTGGTGGAGACTTCTTGAAGACTTCTGAACATCCAAACAACTCAACTTTTGAAAACCCGTGATATGTGAAATAATTTCACATACGGGCCCTTCTAGCTTTTGGATAAAGGTATGGATCCATGGGACGATTCAATTTTATCGTTTTTAGACAATAATCATCCCACCCGGGGTCCACAATAAAAATTGAATCGTCATCACTGTTGTCACTATCTTCTAGAAATCATTTGCTGTTGTAGCGGCATTTGTTTTCTTTTTGGTTATTGTCTTGGACTTCCATGGGCTTAGATATTATTGCGGCCCAATCGTTGTGCGAGGGCTTCCAGTTCGATGAGGATTCTTCGGGCTTCTTTGTTTTGGATTCGAACATCTTCCTTTTGGTCAGACCAATGGTTGTCTCTTGTTGATTTTCCAAAGCAGACTTGAAATTTGCACTGTATGATTGCTTGTAAATTTCGCATTGCTTTGATTGCTTCTTTTGCTGCTGATAATTCGATATCTTGGGCGACTGATCTCCATGCATCAGATTTATCCATTCTGATTGGGGTTTGATTGGTTCTAAGCTGGTATTGTCTGTACATTGCTCCTGGTTCTTCCAGTGTGAAGATTGTTTTAGTAAAGATTCTTGGGAGTGGTTGAAAGTCTTCATGATTTCTTCGCAAGTAATCTTCATATTCTTCTGAGAGGCAGAAGGGGATTGTAGAACTTCCTCCATTGAGTAAAGGGCTGCTGCTGCTAACCGTTTCATTTCTCCTGTGCATTCTGCAAAACAAAGGTTAACAAGTCTTGAGAGAGAATCAGCTAGTGTATTATGTTTCCCTTCTATATGCTCTATGTTAATCTTGACGCCTGTTCCTGTGACTGCATCTGCAAACTTTATCCACCTAACCCTTGAGGATTTGTTGCTATTAGCTTTGTTGTAAAAGCTAATAATGGCTTGGCAATCTGTCCTTAAAGTGATTTCTTGTTTATCAAGGTAGTAGATTTTTAGTTTCTCCAGAGTGTTGATGCAAGCATTGATTTCAGCATCAATTGTGGATTGGGTTGTTGAGATCAAATTTTGAGATCAAATTTTGAGAATAGGATGAAGAATCAATACCATGGACAGCATTCTTAGTACCTGGAGGACTTTATGAATGGCTAGTTATGCCATTTGGTTTGAAGAATGCCCCGGCAGTGTTCCAAAGAAAAATGGATAAATGCTTCAGAGGTACATAATCATTTATCGCAGTATATATTGATGATATACTGGTTTTCTCAAAAAACGAAAAAGAACATGCAAAGCACTTGGAAAAGATGTTGCAAATATGTGAGGATAATGGCCTAGTCCTATCTCCAACAAAGATGAAGATAGCAGTCCCAACAATAGATTTTCTGGGAGTAGTCGTAGGAGAAGGAACCATAAGGTTGCAACCGCACATCATAAAGAAGATTGTGAACTTCAACGAAGAAGAATTGAAGACAAAGAAGGGGTTGAGGTCATTCTTAGGAATCCTTAACTATGCTCGTAATCATATCCCAAAACTTGGGATACTATTAAGGCCACTGTACGAAAAGACAAATGCTCATGGAGACAAAAGATTAAAGCCTTCTGATTATGAGTTAATCAAAAGGATCAAGATGCAAGTTCAGAATCTCCCAGACCTTGAGATACCACCTGAAGATGCTTATATCATCCTAGAAACAGACGGATGTATGGAAGGATGGGGAGGTATAGTCAAATGGAAGAACAAAAAGGAAGGACCAAGAAGCTCAGAAAAGATTTGTGCATATGCAAGGGGCAAGTTCTCAACAACCCAATCCACAATTGATGCTGAAATCAATGCCTGCATCAACACTCTGGAGAAACTAAAAATCTACTACCTTGATAAATAAGAAATCACTTTAAGGACAGATTGCCAAGCCATTATTAGCTTTTACAACAAAGCTAATAGTAACAAATCCTCAAGGGTTAGGTGGATAAAGTTTGCAGATGCAGTCACAGGAACAGGCGTCAAGATTAACATAGAGCATATAGAAGGGAAACATAATACACTAGCTGATTCTCTCTCAAGACTTGTTAACCTTTGTTTTGCAGAATGCACAGGAGAAATGAAACGGTTAGCAGCAGCAGCTCTTTACTCAGTGGAGGAAGTTCTACAATCCTCTTCTGCCTCTCAGAAGAATATGAAGATTACTTGCAAAGAAATCATGAAGACTTTCAACCACTCCCAAGAATCTTTACTAAAACAATCTTCACACTGGAAGAACCAGGAGCAATGTACAGACAATACCAGCTTAGAGCCAATCAAACCCCAATCAGAATGGATAAATCTGATGCATGGAGATCAGTCGCCCAAGATATCGAATTATCAGCAGCAAAAGAAGCAATCAAAGCAATGCGAAATTTACAAGCAATCATACAGTGCAAATTTCAAGTCTGCTTTGGAAAATCAACAAGAGACAACCATTGGTCTGACCAAAACGAAGATGTTCGAATCCAAAACAAAGAAGTCCGAAGAATCCTCATCGAACTGGAAGCCCTCGCACAACGATTGGGCCGCAATAATATCTAAGCACATGGAAGTCCAAGACAATAACCAAAAAGAAAACAAATGCCGCTACAACAGCAAATGATTTCTAGAAGATAGTGACAACAGTGATGACGATTCAATTTTTATTGTGGACCCCGGGTGGGATGATTATTGTCTAAAAACGATAAAATTGAATCGTCCCATGAATCCATACCTTTATCCAAAAGCTAGAAGGGCCCGTATGTGAAATTATTTCACATATCCGGGTTTTCAAAAGTTGAGTTGTTTGGATGTTCAGAAGTCTTCAAGAAGTCCCCACCACTTGTTAAAAGTATCTTTATAATTATCAAGATTGTCGGCCACATGTAACAAATTAAATAATGGCCCTTGTTTAAACGTCATCGCTTACGTTTTTATTCTTGTCCAATAGTTTGTAAGCCCATCTATATAAGGGCATAAGTTCTAAGTTTGGGATCATCGAATCCATTCACCTACAATCACCACCACCACCATTGTAACAAAGCTTCCGCAGTATTTTAATAAAAATGTGTGTACTTTAAAGTTTTAGTTTTTGAGCTTTAGTACAAGATCAAAAATTCCTGGCAACGTAAATTGACAGGTCAAAATGTATCAAAAATGTATACGAACATGCTACTTAAGACAGCTTATTAATAAGCAAGTTTTTCAACTAAAAACTAGCATAAATTGGATTTTATCTAGCTTAAATATGAACTCAAAATGTATAATTCGACTTTATTATAATTTTAGCTTAAACAAACAAATACATTCCAAATCATTTGCAAAGCAAACAAGATATATATATTTTTTTATTAATGGATTTCAAATTCATCCAAAATCCTACCAACCAACCAAACCAAACACATAACAGATTCCAAATCCTTTGTCAAAAAAACAAGATCTCACACAGTAATCGATGAAGGCATATCAGCAAGAGCACGAATATAAGTCGTGTGTTCTGAAGTGGTCCCAAATCCAGGTATGAACTCACCAAAAAACCTTAAAACTGCCGCCAGGTGTTGTGGCTCGTTTGATGCATACGCTGCTTCTAGAAACAATGATGGTCGAACAGTACTAACCTGATCATATTCATTATTCACAAAAACAAATGTAAATTTTCTCAAATAATATAAATAGGTGTTTGGTTGTGTTGTGTTGGGTTGGGTTGAAAAGACGAAAATGACCTTGTGTTTTCGTGCATAACGTAAAGCTTCAAGATAACATCCATCTTGTACAAGTAACACCACGTAGTCATGATGAAGTGACAGCTGTCTCAACATATCAACACCTAACTTTCTTGTTTGGATGTTACGACTTCCCACCCCTTCTAGAAGCTCAAGCGCTACCTCTTTCGATGGCTCGATAATCTGTGCAAACCAAGGGCAATTTTGGGATTTCCTTTACTGGGCATTTTCGTAATTTTCATTTTCAAAGTAGAATACCTTATTCAAAACAAACTGTCCAAGCTCAGCATATCTCTCATTCCTTCCAAGCAACCGCACTGCCAACACGTATATATTCGGATGCACTTTTATTTTCTCCAAATTGGCACTACAAAAGCGAGAAAACCCAAAAAATTTCAATAAAAAAAAAAAAAAAAAAAAGTTAAAATTGAAATTGAATTACCTCCTGATAAACTCGAGAAGAATGGAAAACAAATAAGAAGCGTCTGCAAAAGCAATCATCTCTTCTTCAACTGAAGCAAATACAAAAGTGTAAAGCTCATCAGGTGGAATAGTTGCTGAAGTAACTAGTTGTGATTGTGACTCTTGTTGATCTTCTGAAACCATTAAGTTTTCTCCATTTTCTTTTTTCAAATTAATATTATCTTCAGAGTCTGAAGTTGAGAAGCCACCACCAGATGTGTCTCCCGGTTTGTTGCCGGAATTGTTTTCCGGTACACCGGAGGAGGAGTTGACTGGTGTTGACTTTGAGTAACTTCCGGTTTTCAGTGAATATGCAAAAGAGGTCACCAGTACGTTAACTGCCCGGAAAATTACGGGCAGGGGTCTTCTTTCAATCATGATTGACCGAAGTAATTCCAAACATAAATCTTTAGCCTGAATCAAACAAAGGGTAAAAATAATACTTTTCCCTCATTTTTAGAAAAAGAAAAATTATAATTTAATTATTACCTTCTTTGCTTCCAATTTCCTTCTCTGCAAAAACTCTAAAACCAATGGCACTTCTGAGCTACTCGCGGAAATTGCCTGTGATCATTAAAAATAAAATTAGTAAAATAATAAAACAATTAAACAATAAAATCCAAATGGATTTTTTTTTATCAAAAAAAAAAAAAAAACTTGCCTCCAAATCCAAATGAATCTTCCACAAGAATCCAGTGGAAACATCACATACAAGATCAGGGACAAGAAAATTCCAGTCATCAGAGTACAAATTTGCTGACGTGTCATTTGCTGATTGGGAGGATGAAATGTTGCTGCCACGTGGCAAGCCCCTGATTAAAAGAGGAAGTGGGGCAGAGACAGGTGTACGTGAGTCAGCAAATATATCGTATAATATAATGACTTTTGCATCCACTTGATGAATCAGGAGAACATTGTCCACCACACTCACAGCTATCTTTGTGGAATATACAGGTAGAGAACCCTACTCAAAAGAAAAAAAAATATATTAGTAATTATTTTTTTTATTAATTTATAAAAGTATAAATTACCTGTTGGATAACAGCATCACGATAAAATCTATAGGAATGGAGTAGCATTGCAACTCTATCAACTTGCAAACAGTATATTCTTCCATAACTGTGATTCCATTCCACCACAAAATTAGGATTAAATTGTTGAATAAAAAGAGAATTCTAAAGAGTTAAAATATAAATAAATAAATAAATAAATCTTACACAGTGACAATATGAACATCTTCAGCAGAAAGAACAGGCTTACTGTTTACATCAGACTTTGCCATTGCCATCTCAAACCTTGGTAATCGAATTATGCCTGCAGATGAAAGCTAAACAAAAAAAAATGATTAATAAATTGTAACTATGATTAAAAAATAGTGTTAAAACAATAACTTATATTTACATATGATATAAGAAATTCAAACGAAAAGTAATTCCATTCCTATAAGCAAACAAAAAATGATCATGGGAATGTAATGACTCATTCCATTCCACTCGTGCAAATACCTGATATCCCATAAAGCTTTTGCATTGCATTCCTGAAGCAAGAAGAACTAATCTGCTTTCATGTGTGTAAATATACCAACTCACATTCACTTTCTTTGAGTCAACCAATTCAAGTGATTTCAACTCTGGGACATAACTATAAAGATCCAGTCCACTGTAATTCAACAATATAAAATTATGAAGCTTATATTTTAATACTCATTTACTTGATAAATAACTAAAAAGTACCTGGTTTTGACAAATACAATGTCACAAACTGCACAATCTGTCCAAAAGAATCCCAAAATAGTATCGGACTCGGACTTTGACTTTTGACTAAAAGTCTCTCCAGTTTCTTTGACCCAAAACTGAACCTCATTATTTGATCTTTGAACAGCTATAAGCTTTAAATCTAAGGAATATCGGATAGAAAGCACTGGCCCTTCACTTATTGTATCAGTTGTTGATGCAACTTGAGGGGTATAAGGGGAAGTTTTCCAAGAAACAACCTAACACATTAAAACAATCTCATACATTTAATACTAAACTTTGGTTTCATGAATTAATTGAAATATGGTGTATAAATTGTTGTATATATATACCTGGTTAGAGGTGGGAGAGATTAAAAGTTTATTTCCATCATCATAAAATAAACCTGTTGATCCATTGTTTTTGCATCTTAAGGGTGGATAATGGATGTATGCATGTGAAAGAGCACCAGATCCACCAGAACTTGATGTATTTCTAGACATTTAAATTCTGTAAATTTATTATGAATATACTGAGTGGTATTATATATGGGGTTTGATGTATTTGTGATGGCAAGTTCTGTAAATTTATGGCTTTCCCTTGAGCTGGAAAAAAAAAAAAAAAAAAAGTTTGTGAGAATATTAGTTATAGAAAGAAAATAAAAGAAGCTTTGAGTTTTGAGAATATTATTAAGCAATTAATACCACACTCTGCATGCAATTCTTCAATTTGAGAAACTCTTTCAAACACATATCACGTTCAATTTGAGGAACCTTTTCTGCAACACAACTCCCGTATTCTTTTGCCTGCATTTTTTTACATAATAATTACATACACATAACATCAAAAGTTAAAGTGATACATGAGAATCACAAATTGTTAAAGTTTACAAGTGTATAATAGATTAGAACTCGTGTTAATTGTTTCCTATATGTTTATTTCTTGAAGAGTCTTTAAAGAATTGAAAATTCTAAAAGAGAACAGTGTCTATATCTTTTGTGCACTCAACAAGACAAAAATTAACAAGTATGCATTTTGTGTTCAACCATGGATCCACAATTCCAATATACTAAACAAAGATACAAAGAAATGCAATTCCTACATAATTTGCAACAGTATATTAACTGACCTGAACTCCACAATTCGCCAAAATACGTTTAAGTGGGGAGATGGTGTTCCTTTCTTTCATTATCAAATACCTGATATACATGGTACAGAAAATCCAAAAAGTTTAGAAATACTTGAAATACCATTTTTGATTCATGATCAAAACAGAAAAAGCTTAGTTCAATATACTTTGGCTTCTATATAAGGTCAGTGTTTTAACATTTTGACACAAGTTGATCATCAAATGACCTTGATAAATGTTCCATGATAGTAATATCATTTCTAGTAATTCATCATAGTATAATAAATACGTACTAATTTCAAAAATAGCTACTGCTATAAGATACCTAAATTGGATCCCTAATTAACAGCGAACAATCGATACCTCCCATGATGTAAGACAAACATAAGCACAAATCGCGCCCTAAATCACACCTAGGGTTTTCATATAGTATAACACTAATTCATGAATTTAACTAATCACGGTGTTATAAAATTAAAGGATCATACATAGATGGTTTACAAGAGCATTCGATCTCGATTGCCTACATTTTTTTTTCATCTCCACATAAATACGTTTAAACTAGTGCAGAATACCTCGAAAACTAATCAGTTAATTAGAACCCTCAATAAGAAAATCAGAATTCAGAATCAGAAAACTGAAAACAGGATTCTCAAATCAGAAATTGGAAAGTACCTCTGGTTCAGTGGTCCTCGTAATCCTCCTCTTTCCACATCAGTAACATCACTAATCAAAACTCAGAACTTAGAGGAACTCGAATTCCTTTTTCCGCAGACTCGAACTCTGAAGACTAGAATTTGGGATGAAAAAACCGGAAAGCAACTAAATTTTACCGTTGAAGAGCGTGAACGAGTGAATCGTGAATTACGATTTTGGTTGAACCTGGGCACTACCAAAGCTGATTTTCCAGGCGATGCCTTTTGCCATTGCTAAAGTATTGGACCAAATTTTTGGCCCAAAGTAAAACGATTCAAACTTGAGTTTGGTATATTTTTCATGTTCTTTTAAGTGTAACGGAATTTTTTTTTTTTGTTTATATTCGTTTCCGTAGAAATCATGGTTTAAAAAATATTATTGATAATTTTAATTCGTAATGACCGATTAAAGATTTGTAAAAAATTATTAATTTACAAATATAGAAATTTTGTCAGCAAGTTTATAATGATTAGTTAAAATTAATATATACATTGTTATGAATATTCGATCTATATTTTGTATGTCTAGATATTTGATAAGATTATGATTTTGTGCAATGCAATATAAAATTGAATAAAGTGAAAAAAAAGGGCAATAACATATATAATCTTTATGCGTTTTTGATGATTCTTAAATGTTATAGATTAGTCATTTGACATCAAAGTAAAACAACATTGAAACTTTAAAAAATACAATCATTAATGATAGATTTAAAAAAAATTATACAAAGTTATATATTTTGTCTGTAACTTTACAATTGTTAATTTAAATTAATATATAAAATGGGTTGAAGATATAAACAACGTTCTCTATGTCTAATATTAATGATAAAATCATCATGTTTTAAACTTTGAAAAGTATGATTTCATGAAATAAGACATTTTAATATATGGCAATCAGTTTTATTATTAAAAAACAGAATACTAAAACATCAATTAATGATATTTTGGTCATTTTTCATATAATTTATATAAGAAATTACATATATGTTGCATATCCCGTTTAAAATTGTTGCAGCCTTTGTTTCATTTTTTTTAAAAGATGACATATTATAATATTAGGTGTAAAACTCATGTATTACATGAGTTAATTAAAAAAAAGTAAATATAAAGGTCTAAATATTTAAGAACTTTGGATTTATAAGAAAATAAGAAAAATAATGAATTATTAAAATTGATTTTTTATCTTTTAAATTTAAATAAATAAACAAAATAAACTATGAGCTTTAATTTGAGAATTTTGAAATAAGAAGGTAAGTCCATTAATAAAATTGATATTCATTTATTACTACATTCATTGTAATTATTATATTAAAGTATTATGTGAAATTTATTAAAATAGAAAAACCCATAAAATGACATGTGAAAAAAATTAATTCAAAATAACCACAAAATAACATGTGACAAATTGGATGAGAGTGTGACATGTGACAAAAAAAACTTTATTTATTAGAGTAGATAAATTTCAAAAAATGGTCTAAACATGTTTGGACCAGTATTCTATAAATTACATATTACCCAATTGTTTGTTCTTGAAACCACATCTCATGCATCAAATTTTGTTTTTTAAATCCATGTTAACTATTTGTGTATTCTTCACAAAAATAAAATTCTTTTGTGTTTAAAACTATTTAACCATAATAAGTCCATGTCTAGTTAAATAAATCCCAACACTCATGTGTCACACGAATTTACATGTAAGTCCTGAGAACTACACCATTCCTATAGGAAATTATATACATGTTTAAATGCAGATTATACATTTTGGAAAAAATAAGAACTTATTACATTAGCTAAAAAGTAATACCATTTTGACAACCTAAATAGTAAATAAACAATAAAATCAAGCAACATTCATCCTTCATAAATGAGATCTTTCTTCTCTCTTGTACATGAAATCTCCTTATTAACACAACAATATTGTTTACTACAGTAGTGGTTAAAAGATATGTGACAAAGGGAGAAGGGTTTGCCTAGTCGGTTTTGGCTATTTCAGTCAATTTAAAATCAAATAGTTCCACACCAGTCATATGCTTCAAGCTCTTGTTTTAAGGTCTCGGCCCTTGAAGCATGTTTATATTTTTCCTAAGAAAAGGGAATTATAAGATGAAACAGAAATCTAAAAAAGCTTAATTTTGTTATGAAGTGTTATTGTTGAAAAGTGAAATAAATGAATAATTATATTAGTGGTACATAAGAAAATATTGAAAATCTAGATCTTCTTAAAGACAAGAACAATTTACACTTTCCATCACTACAACTATTATGCAAGATTGTCATTCTGTAACAGGTGGAGAATAAGATAGAATGACCATAAAAGAGGGTCCTTTATCACAAAAGCAGGGGCAGTCCTAGCTAGGTGCCCGGTGTGGCACCGACAACACCTAGCTTCCGCGCACGTAGTAGAAAAAATTTCGTGTTTTTTAAATTTTACCTATTGTGCCACTACGTAAAAAAAATCGTGCAACTACTAAATTTTTTTTGTGCAACTACATAAAAAAAATATTGTCACTCTATCGGGAATTACCAAACGAAAAAAAATAATAACGAGCCCAATGTTTTAATCAATTATTGTCTAATAGTCCAATTGCCCAAAGCCCAAAATAAAACTTAATTGGATAAATTAGCAATTGGGCTAATTGCTTGTAAAAAAGATAGTCCAATCCTAATTAATTGAGTGTGTAATTGTGTATTATCGGTACAAGGGAGAAAAAAAAGGCACACGATAACAAAATCCATCGATGCATCGACTACTCGACTTCCGATTCCAAAATTCGTTCAATCGTTGCTTGGCTACTGTCGACAGTCGTGACTCGTGACCTCCTGTTCGGACAATTCTTGATCAATTTTATTGTTGGATCGATCAACATTCAAGTATTCAACAATAGTCAATCTCTTAAAGCAAGTAACAAAATCGACTTCTTTCAATTTCTACTATTTTGGTTAAGAAAATCCACTTCAAAGCCCTACAATGAAGCAAGTAAGTTTTAACAATTCATTTAGATATTTGAAATTGATATGTTTTTTTGAAGTTATTGATTGACTTGGGTGAAAGGGTGCAAAAAGGCTTGTGTAGTGGTGAACTTGAAACCGGAAGAGGGTTAAATCAAGAGACTACACTTGTTCGAGCTGGAGAAACAAGATGGGGTTCACATTTCAATACACTCACAAGTTTGATGAAGTTGTTTGCGGATGTTCTTGTAGTTTTAGATTTTGTGAAAGAGGAGGGAGGGTCATATGAGTTTGTGTTTTACTTACATATGATGTATGACATTTTACACCTCATGGGTACATTGTCAAAGCAATTTCAAAGAAAAGATCTAGACATTTTAGAAGCGGCTTCGATGGTTAGAGGGACAATGGAGGCATTGCAATCTTTTAGAAACACAAGGTTTGCTAGCATTTTGCCAAAAGTATCCTCTTTTTGTCAAACACACAAAATCGATACTTTAGATATGGAAGAGTTGTATATTGGTGCGAGAAACCGTAGGACTACAAAGACTAATAGGTTTTATTTTGAGGTTGAAATCTTCAACACGGTGGTAGATATGCAACTTACAGAATATCATGATTGATTTAGTGAAACAAGCACCCAATTACTAGAATACATGGGTGCTTTGAGCCCTTGTGATTCAATTGCACAATTTGACAAATCAAAGTTATTGAAGTTGGGTAAGTTATACAAGTATGACTTCGATGATTCAGATATGATAGACCTTGAAGGACAAGTTAAGATATTTTATCACTCTTGCATCAAAGATGAGCGCTTCACTAGTTTGAAAGGAATTTCTGACCTTTCTCGTTTGATGGTTAGTACGGGGAAGCATCGGTCTTATCCTTTGGTTTATAAGCTTTTAAAGTTGGCTTTGATGTTACCCGTAGCGACCGCAAGTGTAGAAAGATGTTTTTCAAAGATGAAGCTCTTGAAGACCGACTTGCGTAACAAAATTGGCGATAAATTTTTGAACGACGCATTGCTTTGTAATGTCGAGACCGAATCACTTGCGAAAGTTGAGAATGAAAAAGTAATGGAGCGGTTTCAAAAGATGTCTGCACGAAGAGGAAAAATTTAAATCCTAATAGATCGTTGTTATATTATGTTTAACTAGAAAAAAATTTGTATTAGATGTTTTATATTATGTTTGACAGAATTTCTTTTTAATGTTTTATATTATGTTTGACCGGAAAAAAATTGTGCAACCTCTACTTCTAATTCCTGCGTCCGCCCCTGCACAAAAGACCACGTAATGTTAACCCACAAATCAAATAAATGCGTGATGGAGACTATGTCTACTTTGAGGTTCCACCTGGCAATTATCAGCTAAAACAACCACACATGCAACTAATCTGGGGGATCAACTATCATATACACACATGTCAAAATCCAATGTAAATATATACACCGAGTTAAAGAATACCAATGTAAAAATGTACATCTGTAAACTTCACATATCCTTTCTCTTTAAATTACATTATATGGCTTTCAATATTCATACTTCTTTTTACTGTGAAGAAATGACCACAATTAATAAGCAAATCATAGAACAGAACATAAAAAACAACCCATGCTTAGAAAATAAACTTATAGAACACAAAATAGGCTTGGTTTTGGTAGTAGGGTTGGGGGGTCTGAACACATGACTCACTCCGTGAAGAGGAATCGCCGTCATCAACCATGGTAGATATTAGAAGAAATAGTCCTCACAAAAAGGGTAAAATGGGTATTTTTTATAAATGTAACAAAAGGGTTGTGAAAGTTAATGACTAAAGGACCCAAATTAATCTAAAACCATGCAATAAGAACCTAAATTGCAAGAGGTTTCACTTTTGAACTAAACCAGGTGAAAATCATTTTAATAAAAAGGGATGGCGAGTTCCTTATACCTTTTATGTCATGCTACCTTCCTTATATCTTTTATGTCAACTAATTGCTTTTGTTAAATCTGGTAGAAGGCAAGGGATTTTTTTTATCAAATTGGTATCAGTTTCATGTTTAATTTCAATTTCAAGATGTCGGATATTCAGTAGTGGCCTAAGGTTTTCCAATGGACATTTATTGACCTAACTCCACTTGCTCTTACACCTTCACTACCCTTTCCACCTCTAATATTTTATTCTGAAAAAGGAAAATATTAAATGCAAGAAATAACAATGTACTTTTATAGGTTTGTTTATTATAACATGCTACTTTCGTCTCTATAACGATGTCATTCAAATACTAAACAATGTTCACTGCTATAATAGGGTAAGATCAAAATATTTCTTTGCATTCCTCTTGAATCCATAAGAAATACAAATCAATCTAAAAATACACATTGATTTTTCTTAGATTTTGAAAATTTTCACCCCATCTTCATTAAAGCCTTAGTTTTGCATGATCATATAATTTTCCTCAAATCCCTAGTTATTCCTAAATCATCATTTTTGCCTAAATAATTCAATTGTTCACAACCTTTTCCTATTTTTCTAAATCTATCTTAAAACTAGTTGTTTTTGTTAAATTTGGTAGAATGCATGGGATTTTCTATCAAATTAGTCTTAGTTTCACGTTTATCAAACCTTCTAAAACCCGTATAATAGTTTTAAATCTCTTTCTTATGCCTTTTAACATCTAAAAGCTAAGCCAATAAATTTAAACCTTTTTTTTTTGAAAATTTTGTATCAATAATCTTAGATGCATTTGAAGGGTTTTATAGGTTACAAAATCTATGTGCTTGTGGAAAATCTCTTAACATTTAAGGGCACTTTCAACTTAAAGGATCTATGTCATAAAACTTTGGAGGTAACATACAATGAACAAAAAAACCTACAAGACCCTAATGTAATCGAAAATACCATATTAGGGTTACATACCTTTAAATTGTTGAAGTAAACAATTCTCTTCAATCCCTTGTAGTTGATCTTGGAAAGCCTAGCACCAAAAGTATGATGCCTCTAATGGCTCACTCCCAAACCCTAGAACTAGAAGAAAAGAGAGGAGAGAGGAGGAGTAAGGAGAAAATCTGATTTCTCTTGGGAATAATGAAGTCCAAAAATCAAAGGGTCACAACCCTTTATCAAAGGGTTACAACCCTTTATCAAAGGGTTACATCCCTTTATATAGCTGCTAGAAAACCCAAAAAACAATAAATTTGAACATATAGGTGCGTTGTTAGTGAACTCTTTGCCTGCTTTTGTGTTATTTGACTCGGGTGCGAGTCGGTCCTTTGTATCTCAATCTGTTAGTAGGGATTTTGGTATGCCCCTTAGTGTATTGGAGTGTCCGTTGCAAGTTTCTATCGCCAACGAACACGAGGGTTTTTGCATCCAGAGTGTTGAAGGGTTTTGAGCATTCTAACACTCCTATGGTGTACATGCAACCCTAGAAACCTTGGATCTATGTTTTACTAAGATACATGCAAAATTGATTTTCCAAGGTTCTTATTCTATCTAGCATAGAATGGGGAACTTTTGTACATAAATGCTAGAAGAAGAACATACCTTTTGTGGTTTGGATTCCTTGAAAACCTTGTGAGCCTAGCACCTCAAGTGTGATGCCTCAAATGTATCACACAACACCAAATACACTTGGAATAACCTTGAGAGAAATAGAACACTTCTAAAATCGGCTAAGCCCTCTTGTTCTCACACTAGTGCCAATTTTGGTTGCTCACATATTCCTTTTATAGTGTGTCATAGGTAGGGTTACACCATGTAAACCCTAACTTGACATGACTCTTCATTTCCATGATCCATGGGTTCAAAGACACCATGGAGCATCCATGGAGTATCCTATGGGTTTTAGCCCAACTTGATAATCCATGGAGCATTAGCCCACTATACAAGTAATGGGTGATTTACACAATCAACCCATATATTTAATTAGTCTTCTTTTGATCACTTAATTAATTTCAAATTAATTCTTGATCAATACTAATTAAATAATATTATTAATATATTAGAACTTATAATATATTAATAAACCTTAAGTGTTATTTCTCTCATTTTAGTCTATCCAAGTGCATGATGCCATGCAACCCAAATGGACCATGCCAACCGGGTCAAGTACATCCCAGAAATAGTTATGAACTTAGACACCTAATTCAACAGTCTCCCACTTGGATAAGTCTAATAACTATATCTGCAAGAATAACTTCAGGAACCGATCAACAATCGTAGCTATTTCAAGGTCTCGCGGAACTGAGATGATGATGATACTCCATTTAAGATAAGTGATCATATAATCCTCTGTTCTAGATGTCAGCCGGACAAATACATGGAACAATGTCTTACTTATTGTCCAACATTTTGTTTCCCGATTTACGATTTGTTTGACATATAACTTATTTGAACACATCAACTTAGTTCTGACCGGGCCCGGTACATTGGTCAACACAAAATCATCGAGGGGCCCAGATATCACTTCTAATCCAATAAGGAACAGATAAATTTCGACTCATATGCTTGTTCTACTACTTGTTGAATCATACACAAAGGCACGTTTTATAACATCGAGTTACCAATGCGTTTTCGTATAATCAATGTATAATCAACTCATAGGCAACAAATCATATCTCTAGGTTTGAAGACTTATATGATATTACCTTCTCGCAATCACTCGAGATAAATTCCATGAAGTGATACCAGCGAGCGTGGGTTGAATCCAATACTCAGAACTTATGAGCACTCATGAATGTTGTAGTAATCCTTGCTATGTCCCATACCTTGGACATCTACAATCCAGCTTCATGACAGTCTTGATTCATATCTACTTCCAACATATGACCGACTGTGGATGGTTTGAATAACTTAGTCATTCAGGAAGAGCGACTTAGTTATTCTGGAATTCAAAACATGAAAAGTGAAACACAAGAATAATCGAATCCAATATGGTCTTCGAACTTATGAATATAAATAAAACATCTTTTATTTATCACCATATTGATTACCCATCATTCATTGCATACTGTTTCAAACTATCAACTTTATACTTGAATTTAAAAACAATAGTTGTCCCATGCTCCAAGCATGTACACTATGTTTTTCTAAACACTAGTCATGCCATACACCAAGTATGCACACTATGTTTTTCCAAACATTAGTTATGCCATACACCAAGTATGCACACTAAGTTTGTCTATGATCTTTACTCTGTGAAATAGATCGATTGAACATAATCCCAATGATACTCATTTCACAATCCCAAATCCTTACCGCAAATGCAAGAATTCCAAATTCCTGCCATTTACCTAAATCTGTTAGATTCTAAACTTATATGCATTGGTCCTCTTGTAATGATTATGCACAGAGTCACAAAGACTTGTCAACAGACATTACAGAGTATTCCAATGGAGATCAACTCCATGGAAACGAATTTCCATTGCTTTGAACATTCTTCTTGCATTAAGTTTCCTAATCTTACACAAATTTAATGAATAACTTCCACCTATGGGAACATTTCCATATTCCCCTTTTGACTATTACTCCTGAACAAGAGTTGCCTTTTTTCAGAATATGTCAATATGGTCCTTCCAAAATTAACACTATACTTTCAACTCTCCTTGAGCAACCAATCTTTGGTAAACCTTAGATTGTCCTCGACAATTGCTTAATCAAATTAGTCATATCTAGTTCTAGTACTTTTTCCCTCTTAATGCTCAGGGCATTCGGAAAAATTTAGAACAGATGAATATTATAACACATGTAATCGATCCTATATCCGAAGCATATGGGACACGATTCATAAAGATATGATACTAGACCAGTCTTTTGCTATAATATTTCTATTTCTATTTTCCAAGTTCTCATAATTCAGATTATGAAAAGGGTCGTCGTAATCATAATCGAATTTTAGAACGCAAATAATGGACCCATATATAGAATTTCCTTATGTTGAGCCATTCCAACATAAAATTCATATATATATATATATATATATATATATATATATATATATATATATATATATATATATATATATATATATATATATATATATCCTTGACTAAAGATGATTAAAACCTCAATCTAAGCTTTTAGAATTGAAATGAAGTATAATTTCCTCTCCCTTAATTATAGCAAAACAACTTTTTCCCAATTGAAACCTTTTGTTTTCTATAATTAACATTGCTAACTTGCAACACTTATTATAATTATCACGCTCCCACTTGCATGATGATTATTAGCATAACACTTATGCTCCCACTAGCTTTGACATGTACTCAGAAATCAGCTGGACTTCTAGAAATCAATACTTTATTGACCTTCTTACCAAAGTTCAGACTTCTGATACGAAATGCTTTGATAAAACTTTATCAAATTCATACACCTTTCCTTAGATAGCACACATGTGTGTCTAAACAATTTCAGAACTATGAAAAGGGATGCCGTAATCATAGTCTCAATTGTTTAGACCTTTGCCATTCCTCACAAGTCCATGTTAGTGTGTCGGTTAACCACACACGCTCCACTAACGACTTTGAGAATGCAAATATCACAATTGTTATCTACTTAAAATCTACATAGTGAAAGCGTTTCCTCACCATCATTTTCATGAATCGGAGAGAAACCTTATGACACTTAGATTTTATGGTGTATGTGTTCCTATCCATGTAAATTTGTCAAAACCATAATCACAAGACAAGGTTAGTGACGAATCCAAACTCTTATGGATTGAACTTGTGCAGTCTTAACTTCTT